CAGACGCAGCGCCTGAAGGAAACTGGAGTAGGAGAGAGATGACATCAGACCACAGGAATGTGAGGACTGTACCAGAAAGGCCGGGTTCTGCTCTCGCCAGTCCCCAACAGGCAGGCCTGAGGAAGAAGGGAGGCCAGCTGCGGGGGTCCCGACAGCTTTTCAGGCTCATTGAACACAGGGTGACACTCTGAAGGGCCAGGTGCGCGTGCTCCCGTACAGCTCTTCCTTGGTGCTTGGCAGCAATGCACCACCCCAACATTTCTATGAGCAAACAGGGCCTCTGATCACACAGCTGGTTCACTCCAGGACATTTCCACAGAGGACCTGCCCCTGCCAAGCCCTCTTCTTTGAGGACAGCTTGTAGTTTTATGAAAACAGAGGCCTCACACACAAGTGACACCACTTCAGATGGAGAGACAACACTAAGGTGTATTTAAAAATCAAAATGAGGCAAGCTTTTGCTGTACTGTTAGGATGCCCACACTGGCAGGGTCCCCCATAGGAGGGCCTGGCTCCTGACCCCAGCCTCTTTCCAATGGTGGCAGTGGTGACTCAGATGGTTGAGTTCCTGCTACACCACGGCGAGGCCCGCACCGAGTTCCTGGCTCTTGCTTCGGCCCAACCCAGTCCTGCCCCTCACAAGCATTAACTTGGGAAGTGAATGGCAGAAGGGAGCAACTCCAAAGGCAAGAAGGTTGCAAAGTTCTCAGATAATTCCAAGATATTGTTGGAGAGCTGCAGAGCTAAAGACAACAAAGATAAGGTATCTATTATGTCAAACCTTAGATGGAAATACCAGAAGCAAAAACCAACAGTTCTTGCTAGGTTATCAGGAAAGAGAACTACACAGCCACCTCAGCGGGAGGGCAGACAAAACCGTCCCTACTTCCACAGGAACCAGGAGCTGACAGGTTAACTCCTGGATGTCCGCAGCACCCACAGGAGGGCTTAAGTGACTGCTGAGGGAGTATGTGAGAAGCCGGGCGAAGCAGGTGGGGTCAGGGGAAGAAGGAGACTGCGTCCCAACTGTACCATCACGGATTAAATCCTTCCTGAGGCCACCAGTCTTAATCACAGCAGCAGGTAAGTGAAGGGGGATTAGTGCAAATCCAGGAACAATACTGAGAAACAACTAGCAGATGTCACCCTTCTCCCTAACCAGTGCTCAGCGACCCTATCTTCCACTCGGAAGGAAGTCCAAACAACGACAGTTAATAAAGGCTTTATCAACTCCTTTAAGTAAGGCTTCTCTTTTGAAGATATTCAGCATGCTGCTACTGCCTGGTAATGGTAAATATTGCACACATACCACCCACTTGAGATGACCTGTTCGCCAACCTCACCAGACTGGAACTGCCTGAGGACAGGGACAAGGTATGTTCATTCGCATGGACTCGGGGCCACACTCATTTCAGTGCTGACAGTCAGTGACAGATGATGTGACTTCAAAAATTACGTTCCAGGGTTGGTGCCATATGTAGAAAGTTAAACCTTTGCTGGCAGTGTTGGCATCCCATATTGATTCCAGTTAAGAGTCCCAGCTGCTCCACTTCCAATCCAGCTCCCTGCTAATATGCCTGGGGAAGCAGTGAAAGACGGCCCAAGTGCTTGGACCCCTTGTACTCACATGGGGACCCAGAAGAAGCTCCTGGCTCCTGGTCCAGCTTTGGCGGTTGTAGTCATTTGGGGAGTAAATCAGCAAATAGAAGATCTGTCCTTTTTTCTCTCTATTTGCCCTTCAAATAACGAATTAAAAAACGACATTTCCCCGAGTCTGTCTTCTTCCTGGAGCAGCTGCACTGGGTATCACTGATTATTTCTCCATGTTAGGCCAGCTGGGCAGGCCTGGGCGTCCCATCCACACCTCTCGCTCTTTCCAATGTCCCCTGTGAAAGCTGGCTCTCTTTTGGGGTCAGAAAAGCCTGAGCAGTCCTTGCTTCCGCAGTCAGGAGTTTATCTGTCAAGGATCGCCCTAGCAGGGACCCAGAGCACCAAATGGCCATTCCAAGCGAGCAGCAGAGCCGCCTGCGCCATGCTCCCAGGATGCCAACACTGCCTTTCCGGAAACCAAGAGAGAGGCAAGACGGAAAAGCACCTGAAAATTAAGATAACGCTTCTGACAGATGCTATCAATCTTTGTGATGGCTGAGTGAGAAGACCATGACATTTCCTTCTTAGCACAGTGCTGTAAAGAAGGATTTATTTATTATTCCACTGTTAACAGACAGCATGAGGATACATGGACATGGGACCCAAGAGTAAGGATTACACTCACTCTGCTCAGACACTTCTGTACTCGCCATCTCATTTTTAAGACAGTAAAACCACAACATGCAAGTTCTTACACCCTGGGTCTGGGTCGTGCCTAAAACCAGCCACAGCTCAAGTTTTCAGACCTTCACGTCACACAACCAGCAAAAAGAAAACTTCCTCAGGAGGCAGGCTGGACACCCTCCTGTGCACTCAGCCGGCTTCTGCATCGCGCCCTCGGGGTGAGCACAGCTCACAGTCGGCTCTGCAGGACTCAGATCCAAGATGGCAGCTCAGCTGCTACAACTCACCAGAGCCGTCCGTCACAACGCCAAGCGTGAAGCTGCGTCTTCTCCACCCCATCCTTCAGAGAACCTTTCCAAGCATCCGAATTCTACCCCTTGGTCATTCTGTCACCCTCCTTCCAGTCAAGAACAGGCACCCAGCTCTGCCTCCCCCTCAGCAAGTGAATTAGCCTGCCATTCACATGTTTACACAGTCCACAAAAACAATACAGCTGCAAAACATGGAAAGCCTAGGTGGTCTTAGGAAGGCCAACTTAGGAAATGGGTGTAAAATGAATTATCTCACAATAAGCCCCAAATAGGTGTTATATTTTTAAGGGAAAAAAACCCACAGAAGTCAGAGCACTAATTGTCCTTATGTTGATCACAATACAATACCCCCATCACTAACGTAATTTCCGTCTTTTTCTTTAGATGCAAGTCATTAAAAAAAAAAAACCAAAAAACTGGAGACCCAAATCTGTTCCAGACTACCTCTTTCCCCATGCCATTTCTAAACCTTTTACAGAAAAGCTAAATTCAAATCTCAAAAAATTTTGCATTAAATCTCAACACTTACTTCTTTACTTCTGACCATTACTAATATAACAACAACATTAATTTACAACAAAATAATAAAACACTTGCTTTGGGGACAGAAGACTTTAATTATCTTTATGTATTCAGATGCAAAGTCTTTCGGTTAAATTAGCGTGAAAGTCCCTTCATCTACACACAATCAGCCTAAAGAACCAGGCCATTTCAGCACAAGAGGCCGATGCATTTCAACAGTGAATACAGCTTTTGAAAGCACCACACACCCTCTCTCCCAGACTGTCAAATTTTCAAAACGGTCCAACATTTTTTCCATTTTATTTTTTAACACTTTCAGGCCCTGCAAGCATCTCACAATTAGATTAATTAAAAGGAAACAACAAAAAACACTGCTCCCTTCTGATCAAAATTATTCCATTTATGCTTAATTAGCTGTAATCCAAGTCTACATATTTAATGATGGGGATATGACAATTCAACCTATTTGCATATCTTAAGGCCTTTTCCTAAACTATACTTTGTAACAGATTCAGAACAGTCCCTTTCTCATGCCAATATGCCAGGCATAAATCAGGAGGATACAAATTAAGGGGAAAATGAAGAGCAAAGAAAACAAGGCCCCCCAGAGCCAGGGCCGTGCTGGGAGGGGGCGCAGCGTGCCAGAGGTGGGGGCGCCTTGCCCGCCACATCGCAGAGCAGCCCGCAGCCCCCCAGACTGGAGGCATTACATCACACTCTCCCGACAGGGGGAGGCGGCTCACAGGAAGCAAGTTTTCAGCTTTCTTTCCTCCCTGCTCCTCGGCTTCTAGAATCCTGCGTTAGGAGTAATGGAATTTAACTTCAGGCACGGCACACTTCCAGGGGCTCCGAACAATCGCACGGACGGCTACTTATTTATGTGACCCCAAGTGACCACTTCCTGACGGATACGCGGCCGCCGACAACAGGCAGGCATACACACACACACTCACGCACGGCCACGCTACATTTGTGTGGAAAAGCCGAATTATCCATCCGTACAAAATTAAACAAGAGTTTTTAATTCTTTGACAAATGGAGGAGATTCTGTCTACGGGAAGAAAAGATGAAGCAATTATTCCTAGTTTGGTTGCAGGACTGTGGATACCGTGTTTACAAGGCAGTCCCACCATTTGGTGGGAACCACGATCAAAATAAAAACGCATCTGGCTGCACATTGGAACACACACACACACACACACACAGAGCCCCGCGCAAGTGAGCGCGCGCAGGAAGGTGAGGGGCGAGCCAGACTGCCCGGGAGGTTTTCAAGCAAGGGACTCCACAAACCCCAAACCTCCTGGCGCCCGCTCACCCCCAGCCTGAGGTTTGAAATGTACCAGGTCTTACTGTAGGTTTCACATCTCTCGAGGAAGGATGGCCCCGTTTTTAGTTTTCATTTTTATTTTTAATTTAATTTTAAAAAAAAGGCTTTCCCATTCTGGGGCTTGCCTTCCCAGATCCTTTGTCGGCCTTCAGAGCCGAAAGAATGCAAACCCATTTATATTTATGCAAATTTTTGCAGCAGATTTAAGGGGGGGGGAGGGAGGAGGTCTGTGTTTTTTTTTTTTAAAAAAAACCCTCTTTTTAAATATTATATTTCCAATTACTCCCTGCTTCATGTATTTGCAAGGTAGAAACGATGGTGAAAATCTGCATAGAAATTTAAAGTGCAATTAAACCACTTCAAAATTCAAATATTTTAACAAGTCTTCTCCGTTTCTAAAATGCCAAACCTGAAGTACATCACGGGTCTGATTTACACAGATTCACGAAATGTAAATCATCTCCATGCTAGACAAATGTCGGTTTGTAACACCACCAGTGAGAACGGTTAGACAAGACCCATACACATCAATTGGTTTTAAAAAAAAATGGAAAATATTTACCAACCTCATAAAGTGCAGCAGTGCTTAAATCCAGCAAATTGAGGCATACAAGGTAGAAATGGAAATGAAAAAGGTCCAAAAAATGAATTCTTTTTGTCTGTCTGTTTTTTTGTATCTTAAATATTCAGAAACCAGCAGAGACTCTGTCGGCCATTTTGGCTTGAACTAACTCTCTCTCACTCACTCTCCCTCTTGCTCTCTCTCTCCCCCTCTGTCTCTAAAGGAAGCAGCTTTTTGTGACCTTCAAATAGAGGCGGATCATGTGACTCGGGGTAGGTTTGTCAATCAGGAAAGGGGAGGGCGCTGGGGCTGAAGCTGCCTTAAAGGGGAAGCTGCCCTTTTCCGCTCACTTTCGTTTGTGAAACGCTGCTAGCTCATACTCTCCGCCTACAGGCACTGCGTGTGAAAGTGGCAGCAGCATAAGGGTAACAGATGAACAAAATAGAAAAGCCTTTATTGGTTTATCGAAATCTGCTCAGTTGCTAACGATTCTTGCAGATCCTGGATGCGATCTTGGCTTGCTTGCTGGTTACTCTGTTTGGGCAAGCACAGACTGGCAAACTGCTCCTTAGGGGGGGCTTAAGCAAGGCTCTACCCAAACAGGGGCCTTTGGATTGTAAAGATTAAGGCGAAATAAAGGGCACAACTGGTCTCTGGCAAGCTTCTTTTACACACTGCACGGGGAAAGGACGACAGGAGCTGAGCCCCAGTGTAAACTGTAGGGCAAGTCAGACTCCTCGACACCGCAAACACAAGCAGACGGCTGAGGAACAAGGCGGGCTTCCCCTTGCTCAGCTCAGACAGGAATTGTTGAGAGAGAGAGTGTTTGCAGCTCCTCCCCCAGACCCAAATAAAAGCTCGGGGCTCCAGCCCAGCCAGCAGTTCCTCTGGGCGGGGGCAGGGCTGAGTCAGCCGATCCCCTCCCCCCACCTGAGGAAGCAGTCCTCCAGCTGACATAAGCTTTCGCTTAATTAAAACCTGCCTGGTTCCCCGCCCCCCATTGAGCCCCTCCTGCTCCCTCCTGGGGCCCACTCCTGCCCACCTGAAGCCCCTTCCCCACCTCCCCAGCTGGGTGTACCTCTCCAGCCCCGGGGCGGACAGGAGTGTGAGTTCAGGGCTGGAGGGAGCGCCGGCCTCCTGTCACTCTGAGATGGTATCTGGTTTCTTTCTGTGTATGGCTTCTCCCGCCGCTCGGTTCGCCTTATCCTGCCCATCTCAAAAGTCACTCACTCCCCTCCCAGTCTAGACCAGCGAGACACGCCCCTGACACCCAGAGCTGAACTGCTGGAGGAGGCTGGCGGGGCGCGCCCAGCACGGTGGACGCCAGCCCTGTCGCTGCTCCGCGGGGCCCACAGACTCCAGGCAGCCCGCGGCCCGCACGTGAAGGAATGTGTTACTTGGATCCTCACTCCCAAAGGCCTGGCTTGCGGAGGACACCTGCCACCCAGACAGGAGGGAAGTGACAGAGTTCCCAGGCACACATCCACCCAGCGCTTTCCAGGTCTGTGTGAGGAACAAACTCAAGCAGGAAAGAACAGGAAAGGGTGCCAGCCCCAAGACAGCACGGGGTCAGTGGCGGCCTGCTCCTTCTCTAGGGGACTGAGGGACTCCAGGACCCCACTTCCTGTGAAAAGGCACCTGTGCGCGGTCGCCAACCCCCACTCCCCAGCACCATGTTTGTCACTCTGGCTTCTGGCTCTTTAGAGTCTTCCTTCTTCCTTTTTCCATTCCCAGAGAACAGGAAAGGCGCTGTTTCAGGCAGGCAGAGGCTAATGCGCAAGCTACCTGGCAGCCTGGGCGCTTGTGGCGTAAAATGCTTCCACTGTCTCAGGCCCTGGACTGACAATTGAAATGCAGGCAAAAGCAGGAAACTCCTAGATGGAAATTCTGAATATTCTGCCTATTTTTATCCTCCCAATACCTTCCAGATGAGTTAAGGAAAGCTGACTTACGTGAGGCATGCTCTGTGAGCTAAAAGGCATGGAGACTGCAGGCTGCCTTGTTCTAATTGGTGATGGACACAATTCCTTTATGTAACTGAATTTTTCTAGGACTTCATTCCCTAGTGTGTATTAATATTGTACAGATATTTGTAAGTGTTGTTTTGAAAGTATTAAGTGGCTGGGCTTGGTGCAGTGGTTCAACTGACTAGTTCTCCCCTTGCAAAGCCCCTGGGATCTCCTGTGGGTACTGCTCCCTGCTGGGAGGAAAGCAGCAGAGGGTGGTTTAAAGCCTTGGGACCCTGCACCAATGTGGAAGACCCGAGAGAAACTCCTGGCTCTGGATTGGCTCAGCTCCAGACACTGTGGCCACTGGGGCAGTGAACCAGCGAACGGAAGAGCTTTCTTTATGTCTCTCTTTCTCTCATAAATCTGCCTTTCCAATGTGTCTCCCAAAGCTCGTCTTGGCTTCTGAAGGAAGAACGCGTTTTAAGAGATACAGAGAGAAAGCAGGAGACAGAAAGTCAGGAAGCACCTGTTGCTGTCTAGATACTGTGGGCCCAGTGGGAGTAGCAGACGTGGAGGAAAGTAGCTGAGAACACATGCATGTTGAGGTAGAAATGATTGTACTAGGAAATAACTGGTTCTTGTTAAAGAATGGAATCTGGAACCATGAGCTAACGTAAGCCAACCAATTTATTCAGAAATCAGAATTCTGGCTCATCACGCATATCATTGCCTGAGCATCTCTGATGTATTATCTACCCTGCTAGGACCTAGACCAAGGGATAAGAAAGATGAACACTTGGGTCAGAGAGTCACATGAACCCAAAATTAAAATACGGCATGATAGAGATATCGTAATAGAGGTAACGCAGAAACAAACATGTTATGCTGTGGGCAATCGGGACTGAGTGCTAAGGCAGTCCCACCTGAGAGGTGAGGTTCTGAACGGAATCTTAGACTGGGAGTTGGCCGTGCGGAGGAGCTGAGGGGCACGGGCTTTTCTGAGCTGTATCCATCCCGGTACCTACAAACCAGAGCAGCTGGGAAAGCTGACAGGAAAAATGTGCATGTCAGAGCACAGTGTCTCCAGTCTTCCAGGCTCAGCTCGGTCAGAAGGTATACAGGGTAGCCAGAACCACATAGGAATCACCATCGCCACATGAATCCAACAACCTTTAGGTTCAAAGTGTTAACATTTACAGTCATGTTTCCTACTTATTTGTGAGAATGCTAACAGGCCTTTCAGGGAGTATTTTTTTTTTTTTACATCCTCAAATTCTTAAGAACCAAACTCAAAAGTCAAATTTGCATATGGAGAAAGCCTTTGTCATGGCATAGTAGACTAAGGCTTGTCTGTGATGCCAGCATCCCATATGAGTGCCCCTTCATGCTCCAGTTGCTCTACTTCACATCCAGCTCCCTGCTTACTGCCTGGGAAAACAGTGGAATATGGCTCAAATCCTTGCACCCCTACACCCATGAGGGAGACCCAAAGGAAGCTCATGGCACCTGCCTATGGACCAGTCCAACTCTAGCCACTGTGACTATTCAGGACTGAACCAGCGGACGGAAGACCTTTCTCTTTTTCTCTCTCTCTCTCTCTCTAATTCTGCTTTTCAAATAAAAACAAAAATATATCTTGTTTTTTAAAAAATTCTCTTCTTTTCCCTGTGTGACTCTTAGACTGGGCAGAGCTGGGGGAGGGAGTGAAGGGAAAGGCTGGTCACTGAGTACTAGCTGGTCAGATCACCAGCAGGTTGTTGCACACAGCAATACTGCACTGCAAGCAGCATTTCAAAGAGCTAAAAGAAAGGATCTGGAATGTTCTCACAGTACAGAGATGAAAAGTTGAAGGTGACAGGTTAATTCTCCTGATATGATTGGAATACAATGCCTATATGGACATGCCAATGAATCTTACAAAATATTTTTCTGAACCTAATTTTGTATTTGAAATTAACTTTGTTATGTGTAAAAAGTATTCCCCGAAGTTCTGAATAAAAAAAAAATTACTTGTTTATATTGGAAAGGCAGATTTATAGAGAGAAGGAAAGGCAGAGAGAAAAGGATCTATTCACTGGTTTAGTCCTCACAAAGCCACAATGACCTAAGCTGAGCTGATCCGAAGCCAACAGTCAACAGAAGCTTCTTCGAGGTCTCCCATGTAGGAGCAAGGTCCCAAGGCTTTGGGCCATATTGCTCTGCTTTCCCAGGCCATAAGCAGGGAGCAGGAGGGAAGTGGAGCAGCCAGGAAACGAACCAGCACCCATTTGGGATACCAGTGCTTGGAGGTGGAGAATTAGCCAACTGAGCCATCATGCTGGCCACCAGAATTCTGAATGTTATTCTGGCTACAAGAGGGTCTCTAGTGAAACTCAAGTCTAAAAGGAGGATGGCTATAAATAGAAGACCTTAACAAGAGCCACACACAAGGGCAGGAAGTCCCTCAGAACAACATGAAAATCTTGCAGAGGCCCTAAGAAGTAAAGGGAAAGCTCACGCTTGGCTAGAAAGGTATCTTATGTAAAATAAACAATAAGCAACAACTGGTAAAGGTAGGGATGTTGACAAAGGAAAAAGAGGTAAAATTAGGTGTGCTGGGACATACTCAAGGCAGGATCAAATTCAAAGTCAAACTCAGAGAGTTCATTTGGCACAGTGGCGAAGATGCTGAGATGCCCTCATCTGATAGTAGAGAGCTTCCACCTTTTGGTTCATGCCCCAAATGCTTGCAACAGCCAGGACTGGTCCAGGCCAAAGCTAGAAGGATACACTCCAGCCTGATCTCATACTTGGGTGGCAGGGGCACAAACTTAAGCCACCATCCACTGCCTTCCCAGACACTGTGGCAGGGAGCTGGATTAGAAGTAGACTCAAACTGATGCGGGGCTCAAATTGCTGTACCCAAACACCAACCCTACAACATGCGCTTCTTGCCTATTTACATAATGGCATGGATCTCAACACAACTGACTAGAACAGTCATAGCTCTAAAAAGGAAGCCTCAGAATACTACTTTAAATTAACTGAGCAACCTTTACCTAAACCTACAATGCCACGATATACTTACATAGCAAAATGCTAAAATTGTAATTATAACTAAAGGACTATAGTGGTGTAATAATATGGGGGGAAAAGGTGGCTAAATCCTCGCCTTGCACATATGGGATACCATATGGGCACCGATTTGTGTCCTGGTTGCTCTACTTCCCATTCAATTCCCTGCTTGTGGCCTGGGAAAGCAGCAGAAGATGGATGGCCCAAAGCTTTGAGACCTGCACCTGTGTGGGAGACCCAGAAGAAGCTCCTGGCTTCAGAACTGCTTAGCTCTGGCCACTGTGGCCACTTGGGAAGTGAACCAGTGGATGGAAGATCTTCCTCTCTGTCTCTCCTTCTCTTGATAAATCTACCTTTCCAAACTAAATAAATAATCTAAAAAAATATATGGGGAAAATGTAGGGAGGGGAAAATAGGGAGGAAGGAAGAGGAGCATGGTCCCTGTGCCTACAAAACTGCATCATGGACAATAATAATAAATTTAAAAATTAACTGAAGAAATAAATTATTCCTTTCAATTAGCTTTTCCATAAAGGCTTGCTATTGCTCCTGAAATAAAATATCAACAAAATGAGACTTTTATTAAATTAACAGCTTTGAGTGCTTGCTCCAAGTTCCAACCTATTTATTGCTGCTTAAAAGCCACCATCACCTTATGCAGCAAGCACTAGCCTCGCTGTTAAAATGCCTGTGCTCCACACTGCCTTGCTGGTTCCTGGCTTCAGCTTCCTGTCCAGACAGGCCCTGGGAGGCAGCAATGACGGCTCAAGGACACTGGGTTCCTGACCCAGACTATGCTCCTGGCTCCCAGCTCCATCCTGGCCCTGTCTCTGGCATTTGGAGGGTAAACCACCAAACAGGGCACCCACCTCTCTGTTACTCTGCTTCTCATAAAAAAAAAAACCAAATTAAGTCCCCACTTTAGCCTGTAGAGCAACTCATATGGCTTTGAGTCACTGTGGAACACATAACTATTGAAGTTACTTTTACTGAAATTAATTCATAACCTCGGTATCCAAGAAAAACCTCAGAAAATAGAACTCAGAACTTACTCATTATGTTTCTAAGGCAGTTGGGGAAAAGATATTCTCAGAGGATTTGTTTTTTAGAGTAACTTCAATGCAAATTAGAAAATTTATTAGCAACTGTGAAAGTTTACCAAAGAGCTAGTATAAAATATTGATGTTTTTTACTAAAATTCCCAGCAGCAAAACTTCCATGGGCATAAACAATCATCTATTGAATGTCTTTGCAGCATTCTGAAAATACCAATTAACTTAATAAAAAAGACCTAACTTCCTCTCCCCACTCAAAATGTGAAAAGATTAATGCCTGGATTATTGCTGTGAAATGATGATTCTGGTTCACAGAGTTCAAGTTGGTACTTCTTAGTAAGCTTATTTCAACATGTCCATATTTTATGGCTCAAAGGGAGAAAAAAAAACAGGGGAAAACCTGATGGCAGAATACACTGCGTGTGTGTGTGTTTTAAAGGATTTATTTATTTTTATTGGAAAGATAGAGATGGTATTCGAGAGACAGAAAGATCTTCCATCTGCTGGTCCATCCTGAAATGACCACAACAGCCAAACCTGAGCCAATCCGAAGCCAGGAGCCAAGCACTTCCTCCAGGTCTCTGACATGGGTGCAGGGTCCCAAGACCTTGGGGCATCCCTGACTGCTTTCTCAGGCCATTAGAGCAGGGAGCTGGATGGGAAGTGGAGCAGCTGGGACATGAGCCAGTGCCCAGATGGGATGGTGGTGCTTGAAGGTAAAGAATTAGAGAATTAGCCAGTTGAGTCAACACACAGGCCCCAGAATACAATGTTTTAACGGAGAAAGAAGAAAAACAAAAACAAAAAACCTTTCCCTTTCCTATAACTGAATACTAGTCTGTGTTCTAAGCATGATTATCTGTGCAATACATGATTTGGAAATATTTTCAGTTTTTCCATATTTAGAAAATGCTATCTAGGAAGCTGTGGGTTTTTCTTTTTCTTTTTTTGAGAGGCGCAGAAAGAGACAAAGAGACAGCAACAAAGATCTCCCATCAGTTGGTTCACCTCCGCATGTCCACAGTGACTCAATTCCTGCTTCCCGAGGAGGGCGGCAGGAGTCTCAGACCTTGAGGCACCAGTATCGCCTCTCAAGGCCTGCGAGAGCAGGAGGCTGGAGCTGGATCTCCAAGACAGGTAGAGCTAAGCAGAACGTGGCCACCAGG